CCCGCCGCCCTCGGGCCGACCCGACGGGTCCCGCTCCCCCGGGCTGGCAGGGGGCAGGAGGGGGCCTCTGGGAGCAGCGGGACGCTTCGCACCCGCCCCGTCCGCCCCTCCTGCTCCTTGCAGCTTCTCGCCGAATGCCAGTTTTATGCAGAGAAACTGGAGCGAGCCCGTCTCGGAGGCGACGTGCGGAATTTAACAATTCATATTTAAAATGTGACTTAATATTATACCTAGTTGTTAACTGATGCATCAGATTCGTCCTGTAAATCTTACCTTACTTTATTAAAGAATGCAGATAGTGGGACGCGCTGGGGCTTGTCTGCGACAGGAGTAATAGCGTTTCGGCTACACTAGCGTGTTGTTCAGTACAGGGAGCATGAAGGGTTAATTTTAACGAGGATTTTTTGTTTTTTGTTTTTTTTTTTTCCCCAGAAGTGCCCAAATTGTGCCGGATGGAGGCTGATGGAGGACCTTGCAGGAGTCATCTAAGAAGATACGCCTTTAACTTGAGCTCGATGAAGTGCGAGGAGTTCATCTATGGGGGCTGCTATGGAAATGGCAACAACTTCAGAGATTTGCAGTCTTGTGTGGACCACTGTCTGCCAGAGAAAAGTAATGGTTGTTCCAAATTTTTAATAAAATAGATGGTTTGAAAGCGATATGAAGATGATATTTTATTTGCTGTTTTCCTCTGGATACTCATATAGTGGTATTTTTGAAGACTTCTGTGAAACATGTTTGTGTTGTCTGCAGACTTTCATGTGTCACTTGTCTCAGCTGTTACTGAAAGAGAAAAATGCTGTGTTAGTTTAATATTGTGACCTTAAAAATGCCCACAGCTACACCCAACAGGTCTCTTGACTTTTAGAGAGCTGTACATGTGTAATCTGAAGGGAAATAAGGTTGGAGATCTGTGTTGAGGCAGATGTACGAGACGTTGTGACAGTCACGTTCAGGGCAGTGATATAGTATTATAAAGCAGAAGTGCCTTTCTAAAATTCAAGCCTGAGAGATGATGTTAGGTGGCTTGTGTTTGAGGCACTTCCCATCTCACCTTCTGATAGTTTTTTGCCTGACATGACTCTTCACTGTCTCTCCATAGGAGCTTTAAAGAACAGAGGTGCTTATTATGAGCAGGTGACTATAGCTAAGTGTTGTCATAAACACCAGGTTAATATCTAGTGCAAGATAGGATCTTTGAAGAAGAGAGAGATTTACCAGAATGTGTAAAAACTGTCACTCTCTAAACTTTATTAGTGCTTGATGAGACAGTTATTTCTGGCTGATGACAGATTTCTTAGGTGAATGCTGAATTATTTTTAATTTCTCTGGTGCACATTCAATAAATTGATAAAAAGTCTCCAGAAAGAAAAAGTAAAATTTTGTTGAGGCAAAATGAAACATGATTCTTGTGAGGCAAGTGGTGGAGTTTGTACTTTTTGCTGCTAGTGGGCAAGATTTGCTGGCAAAATCATAGCAAGGATAAACAAAATAGTGTCTTTTTTCTCTACAGATGTAGTTCCACTGGAATTATTGTTATATTCCTATATAGGGAATAAGACTTTTGATCAGACTATGCAAATATCTCAGCTGTTGTACGTATGGCACCACAAATGGGGAAACGTGATGATTTCATTTGTGGCATAGTAATTCTGTTTTCTGGGACTGACTGTTGCTTTCTCAGATTTGTAACTCACAGGAATAAGATGTAGTAAGTCTCTGAAGTCATCAGTAACAGTCATGTCAGTTCAACAAGAGCTATTTGGCTATAACATTTATTACAGGGTAGATTCTTACATTTATGTAATTTGTCTTTTTTTTTTTTTTTTTTTTTTTTTTTTCCCCAAGCTGGTCCCTTGCTATGCTATAGCCCAAAGGATGAAGGACTGTGTTCTTCTTCTGTGCCTCGCTATTACTATGACACTAAGACTAAATCATGTAAGGAGTTCAAATATACTGGTTGTGGTGGAAATGCCAATAACTTTGTTACTGAAAAAGATTGCTACAATGTCTGCAGAAAAGGTAAGAGGTTTTGTATTTTGTCAGTCAAAAGCAGATAAAGCAAGCCAAATACCAGTAAGACGGTGGTTTTACTCACGTTGGATTGCTGCAAGTGTATGCATTTTGCATTTTGGACTTGATGTTTTCAAAGGCGGGGAAAACTGCGATGCAATGCTAAATCCTTCTGACAAGAACAGCGCCATGTGAGGCAGTTACACCATTTTTGAATGAAGTGTAGAGAAGGGCACACAAAAAGATTAATTAACTTACTAGAGCCCACAAGGAATCAGTCTTTAAACTGTTCAGTACCAGCATGAACACTAATTAAGGTATCATTTTCTTCTAGACATTTTAAAGTAGGATTAAAGTAAGTTGTGAAATCAATTTACTTTTTTCCTTTGCATTTTCAGCAGTTACCATTCTCCCTCAATTCCTTGCTGCCTGTTCCCAGTTCCCATTCCCATTACTAAAGATTTCTGCCTCATCAGTCCTGCTGAGTCAACTGTGGCTGTGGGAGGAAGGGTTGAGAATGATAATTGATTTTTCTTAATGGTTTTATTCAAATCAGCTGCTGGTTGTGCTTGTAAGTCAAAACAGTTGTGCTTTTATCTGCAGTCCTATGTTCATACCAGCTATTGCAAGTTTTAATACTCTAGTTTAATTCATTTGATATGTAAATCAATGAAAGAGAGAAAAGCATAATTATATGTTGATCCCCAGAGCACTCAGGAAGCAGACACAGCACAGTACTTTAAAAAATGTTACTAATGAAGAAAAAAAAAAAAAGGGCTCTATCTAGCATGTACGTTGCCTTTGGAACAAAACTAAAAAGTCAGAAAGCAGCTCTGTTTTAAACATGATATGCATAAGGTCCAAGTACTTCAGTATTTAAGATGCATAGTCAGAAGGCTTAAGTCAGGAGATGATTCTTCATTTCTGGGCTGGAAATTCAGGGACGGGGTAAGGATTGCACCCCAAGCACAGACCTCAGAATTAAAAATATTGTCTGCCAGTTAGTCATGACAGTAATATTTCTGTGGGTGACAAGTCTGAGTGAGTCTCCGCCATTCTAGTATTATAAGAGAGTCTTTAATGGCATGCTAAGTCTATCTGAGATGCTTGTGATTATCTAATTTGCATCTATTACTACCTGGAAAATGGTAGGGCCAGGCTCCAGCCTAAGTGTGAGGGAGAGAGGAGGAAGGAAACTGCCTCTTCAGCTCTGGCACTGCCCACACCCAGTCAGATCCACCTGGGGGTTTTCCCTTCTTCACTCTTTTTGTGGAAGAAAGAAGTAAGGAAACGCTGTCTGTCTCATAACTAGAGCGCCAGATAGCCAAACGTAAAGGATCAGTTAAAAGCGCTTTTACCAACTTGTGGATTTCACAATTTGGTAAGGCTTGGTACAACCAAAGCCCATAGTTAAGGGTGTAATTAGTGCTAATGAATGCTGTGCTATACATATTAATTTCTATAGCTTGGGAGTGTACAGCGACATTAAGCAAATCCTTCAGGCAGCTTAAGCCACTCCTCTCCTGCTCCCATAATTCCCTCCTCAGCATCTTTCCTGTTACCTTTTGGAGTCTTGAGCTCAGTTCAGCTGACCTTCACTGTACAAATGCTGTTTAAATTGATCTATAGCTTTTGGAATTAAAAGGCTTCTGATTAATTCACTTTAAAAAAGTTTATATTGGAAAAGAAAATAAATATATTGGGGTGACAGTGAAAGGATTGCAAACTGGCCACAGGGGCTCTGCATGCTGGTAAGTAGGTAGCATAAACCCAGAGATTTTGGGTCAAATTTGCAAAGTACTTGTTTTCTGAACTGCACTCATATGTTTCATGCAGCTTTTGTAAGCATTTCTGGAAATAACCCCAACAGTCTTTGGCCACTTTGCAGCTTCTGTGTGAAACCCAGTTCTGTGAAGAAACCCACCCCATTTTACCTTTTTGTCTTCCACAAGCACTGGTTCTGTTTTAGACTTTACTCCACTGTTGTTCAGAGAAATGCAGCAATAGTTTATAGTTTTGTGGTGTTTTGTTTTTGTTGTGTTTTGTGTTTTGTTTTTGTTGTGTTGGCTTGGTTTTTTTTTTTTAATTTTTATTTTTTATAGATAGAGCAGCATGTTTACTTCCATTCTGCTGTCACTGCAGGGCAGCTAGAAAAGACTGATGCTTGCTCAGGAAAAGAACATGAAAGTAGGACTCCATTGCCAACAGTGAACACATTGGAGACCTTACAGTGTATGAGAATAGGGTGTCTAGAACATATTTTACAATTTCTGATATGTTTGTTATTATTGGATCAACTGCTTAAGCAGCATAACATGAAAAAAACCCCAACCCAAACAATAAAGAGTAGTAACAGTTTTGTCATGCTGTTTCCCTAACTGCTTCCTTTGTTTTTTTAGCAGGGACTCAGAAACCAGGAATCAACAAGCCAACGAATGTATTCCGCAGAAAAATAATGAGAAAACTGATTAAAAACCCCCGGGTGTATAGCCTGAAGTCTTAAAGCTGGTGTGCACTTGGATGTTTGAAACTCCTTTTGATTCCACTTTCTCTTTTTTGTAAGATAGTTTCCACAGTTTTATACACCAATGTAGTTCTGTCTTTCAGAACTGCTTTTTATTTCCAGCTTACTTTTTATAAAGAACTGCATTTAATAGAAGAAGAATGAACCTAAGTTTGGTTCTTCTTCTCTGTTGTTTTTGCAGTAATACTTTGGCAAAGCCAAGTATTTGATTTCCATGTTTTTATGGGGGAATGTTACTACTGCCTTGGAAGAATATTTCAGCCGTTATAAATCAATTAAGATTTGAAAAATCAGTTTTCTCTCACATAACTAAGGAGAGTACAAAGCTAAATTTCTACATGGATTTTTTTTGGCATCCTCTGCTTGTTAAAGAAAAGGAACATTTTGGAAGTTTCTTCAGAGATTTATTGCCCTGCCATACTTAGACACTATCATTTAAGTAGACTGTTCATAGTTAAGACTTCCCTTCATAAGAGTAACAGAAGTATAAACTTAAACCTAGCTCATCCCATAAGAGAAAACTGGGAATAGAGATACTTTGATAAACACTCTGACAATGGCAATGAATAAGCTACTTGAGTATTAAAATTAAAATCTTGCCATTACTTTTTTCATGATATTTGAAATTTCTGCTAATTTACATCCAGATCCTTGTATGGCATAAATCAGCATATTTTTATTGATTTTAACGGAGCTACATGGATTACATCTACTGAGGATCTTGATATTTAGTTTATGTGGTGGCTGTTAAAGCAGAAAAGGAGAAGCTTCTGTAAATCTCATGTAATCCCTCTTTTGAGGCACTATTGTATTGCTTATGGTAGATTATACCTATGGTGATGTATTACACCTTCTTTTATGTTTTGTACTTAAGCCATGTCTGAATTTCAAGTAATTTCACCTACAGTATTTTCTAAATATAAATTCATAAGTAATGTTAATAAAATGTTTTTGGCGAAAAAAGGAGAGCTTGTTCTGTCACTATCCTGAAATAGTTGTATACACCAATATGTGTAATGGAACCTATTATGTATTAATTGTGAGTCTAGCAGAGTTTAGTTGTCTCTTAAATCATTTCCTTATGCTGAGGTCTTTATTTGAAGAAAGCCAGTAAATTGCATTGATGTCATTCATCCCCAGCAGTTTTTATGGCTCACCTGGCTCTCCCTAAAGAGCTGCTCTCAAAGGGTTGCTTAGTTAAGCTGATTGTCTGGTGCTGGGTCTCCTGTTTGATGTTGCACTATCTGAAGAGCTTTTGTGTGGGTAGCAGGCTATTTGCTTGAAATGGCATTGGCTTTCAGTTAGAAAATTTCAGGTGTATGCTTCGTACCCATTTCAGAGAGGGAACATAATAGGGAAACTAGTCCAGATTTGTTTTTCTTACCAATTTTTCTCCCAATGCTGGATTTTCAATTAAAGCAGTCAGCTGTGCTTGCCACAGTCTTTCTACCACTCCATTTCTGGTTCTTGATCTTAAAAAGCTTTCTTATTTCAGTTAATCTATTGATTAGTTGCAGGTGAATGAGCATGCTCTGTGACAGAAAATTGCAGGTAACTAGTGAAACAGTTTTGAGTGTTTGTCCCATACTAAACCTCTTCTCTGGTAACCAGCCTTCAAACAGGAAAGGGGCCAGTCTAACCTCCCTAGGGGAGATGAGGCAGGCTACCCCTGAACGCTGCTCATGTCCCTTCTCTCAGGCTGTGAATTTTGGCCATGCTGCTTAGAGCAGCAGCCCAGAACATCCCTCTGAATACTTTTTCATACCCAGCACTATCATTTGGGGGAACCCAGCTGCATTTGTTGCAGATTTCTGACAACGGCTTAAAAAAATCACAAGGCTCATTTAGAAGTCAAAGTTAATTTTAAACACTTTTTAACTGTAGAGGATGGACATCTTTTAACAGCATCAGTGTGGGGTATAGTCTCTTGTAACATGATTGAGAAATGGACTATTACCCGTTACCTCTCTGGCTCTTTGAATTTTATGGGAGTATCTTGGGGTGGGATACAAAAGTGGACCTGTGATTTAAAGGGAGCGCAAAATCTAAGAGCAATTCCATCTCACTTGGCTTTTTGTTCGCAGAATTGGGTGCCTGGTCACACATCATGACATATCTTAGCAGTGTGATACCCCGCTGGTGTTCTGCAAGGGATCCAAGAGTTTGATAATCTTACACGCAATGCCCCCTTAAGGGCTCAGTGAGAGCTTTCTTGATGGACCAGGCTCCATCTAGGATGCTGAAGTGGCTACTGCAGCCCTTTGCAATGTAGCTGCTCCACATGCTATTTCTTTTCTGCATAAAAACATAATTCAAAGTCCAAGGGCTTACTGCTGAGGTACTCAGTGAAATATCAGAGGCTTGAGTTTTAATCCCTTATCTACCCGGTATGGCACAGAAATCTAACCTAAACCATCCATAATTCTTGTAGGGTTTCCTGGTGAGCAGGCTGTAGAGTATTCTGGAGGACTGGCAGGGAAAGAGGAAAGGGGAAGGCCATGGAAATTTCTTTCAGTCCCTTAGTGAAACCATTCCACTTTGTATAAATTATACCTTCTTGCAAGGCAAATGCCTTTTTTTTTTTTTTTTTTTTTTTTTTTTTTTTTTTTTAGCTACAAAGAATTTCAGCTGCCATTGTGCTGCTTTGTTTCATGTTCTTAAATTACTCTAATATCCCTCCAGACTCCTGTGGCCTTGACTAATCTCACTAATTCTCTATTATCTACAGCATTTTATATGACTCATGACTTATTTCCTTTTTCAGTTTGCTGATGAAACAACACTGGCCCAAGGTTGGGTCAACTGTTAACATTTTGCCACATTGAAAATTAATGCAGCCAATGCCATCCTGCAAATTAACTTTTATTATAGTAGCCAGTGTCCAGCAGCTGGTACTATGTGTCACAGCCCAGATTTCTACTGCAGAGAAGGGAAGCTGTGATTATAATTGGTTGGGTTCATCTTGTCTTGCATAGGCAAAGTGCCAGTGAAACTCATGACTAGTGACTTGCATGGGACAGTCATACCTGCTGCTGAAGAGTGGTTGCTGAAATAAGCAGATTTGACTAAACTCCATTGCAAATAACATCACTGCTCTTCAACTTTCCATTGCAACCAATAATTCCAGGTTTTTTCTTAGTGATATCTTGTGAAGAACTATAAAAAAGGCTACATAAAAATAAAAATCTGTGCTGATCCTTCATCCTTAGTCTGTGGTAACACTCAGGGAATTGCTTTGTAAAGCCTTTCAAGAGTAGGAGAGTAGCTTCATCTTTATATTTCAGTGGAATCTTAAATGTCAAAAAGAGAAAAACAAATCCATGTGGAAACAGGTAATCTTTTTTATTGATAAGCTAAATGATGTAAAGCAAAGTTTCACCACATCTCATTTTAGCAGTGACTAGCACCAATAAATGACTTTCTCACAATTCCATACTTTAGGAGCAAAATGGCAATGAGTTCAACTTGTATCCCTGGAGTAAGATTTCCGACTGTCAGAAATGTCCTTGTTTCTCTATTGTTTCTTGTCAGCTGAGGAGATTGAAAACATGGAACATTTATGTAAAATAAATAAATAAATTAAAGTATTAGACATGATGGGCCACATTTTTAAAAAAGTAAAACCACTGAACTTTTTGTCTCAGATCAGAGATGAAAGATCTTGACCCTAAGCCTGAAGTCTGCTATACGGCTGAGGGCAGCTGTTCTGGATCGAGGCAGTGACAAGAAATCTGTTCTACTAGACAAATGCGGTCCAGCTATGGTTATGTGAATCTGGAAGAAACACATTGTGGATGTGACAGAATTATTATGCATTTACATTAGTGTTATTGAAAGCAAAACCTGCCTCGTTATCTTTTCAGAAACCTTTTTATTATTATGCATAACTATCACTGGTGATAATTAGTGCAGAGATACTTGTTTCTGTTGAAGTGACCGTAATATTTCTGTGTATGGTGGTCCTGTACAGTAGTGTATATCATCTGATAAATTACTTAATTCTTGAGGAGAAGGGGTGTTAATCATAACCTAATGAACAGCAATGTTATTTTTAAAGAATCCTATGCAAATGATGCATAAAAGCATGCTGTTTGAGGCATTAGCAACTGATGTGATCATGAGCTGTGATTTCCAAATAAATGCCAGAGAAATTATCATTCCCAGCTCATGTCTGAACTATTCATAAAAGAGAGATGGTTCACAGAAGTTAAAGATTAATTTATGAAATATAAAACATTGTATCTATTACATGGGAATAAAGCAAGCCCTTTTAATGAGGGTTCCCTTTTTACTGTCAGTGCTGACTGTAATTTCAGATTTATATGGACAAAATGGATGCTCTTTCAGACATATCTGGGTAAATGCCTATCTGGGTTTTTTTGTGAAGGGTTTTAAATGTAATTTAAACTCAAAGGACATCACATTGTCTCACTTGGTGGGGTCAAACTTCAAACTGATGAGCATACAGTAATATTAAGCCCTATTTTTTTCTCATGCTAGATCTTCATTAAAAGCCTTAATGTATTAACTACAGGTTAAATTCTTTCATATATCTGCCAGCTAAATTACAAGGTTTTTGCTCAGTGAGCTTTCTTGGAGGTAATGTACTACTCAAGAGGTGTGCAGCATCTTTTCTAAGAGGCCAATGCATGTTTAAATTTTTAAAAATTTAGTATGAAGTGCAGTAATAAAACTCATAGTAACTAATAAATGCATATTAACACTATTCTCTATGGGATATTTTTCTCTGTGTGTGGGAAGTGACATAAAGAGGATAGATTATACTAATAAAAGCTATTTGAAAAGTCAAGAGAGTAAAGGGTGAAAAATACACCTCATTATCAAACCAGGGAAAAGTTTTCCATCATTACAGTAGCTTTCAACAAGGAGAAATTGTGAGTATTACTGATGTTAAAAAAGAATACTTTATAGAAATCCTCCAGTAGAAAGTAATGAGACTAGCAAGACTTTTTTTCCCTTTTTATCCTCTCTAAAAGTGGAGGGGAGTCTGATGAGAAAGACAGCGATCACAAATGGTACTTGTTGCTCTCATGGATTCAGTCTGCTGCACTGGAGCATAAGGAGCCTGTATAGTTTCTGCTGTGCCAGTCAGAGGGACTCATACCATGATTTCAACAAGACCTGGAGCCAGTCCAAAAGCTTCAATAAACTCATGTAAGTGTAGAAACAGGATCTTGCACAGAGCAGCATTCTCCTGAAGCAGCACATGTATCTGCTTTAACTGAGCCTTTCTTTGTCAGTGTTCATCAGTGGGTGCAAGCAAATAAACAAAAGCTAAGCAAAAATTTTCTGACCTTTATTTCAGCACCTGCACAGTTGCTGGATGTACAATATGAATAATTGCATGCTCTGGTGGCATAATAGATTCCTTTCAGGTGAGAAAGGAAATTAACTCATTTCTTTACTTCAATATGTCTCCAAATAAGATCAGGAACAAAATTGCTACAAAGTCTATTATATAAAAACTTTGGAAAATACCTATTATAATATTAAAGGCATTTCCTTAATTAGGTTTTATCAGGAATTAGTCCTTTCAACTTTTCAAGACTCTTCTTTTAAAATCTGAAGCAATATTCAGATAAATAGAGATTGATTTTTATTGAAGGAGGAATTTTTAAATCTCCTTAATTTTGTTTATTCATCAAATAACTTGGATATTTTTCCTTCTGACATATTATTATATGTTAGTAGACACCTGAGTGTCACTTCTGTATCGACAATTAAACTCAGTTCCTTAACTGATCTCATAATAGCAATTCTGCATCCTTCTATTGTGGATTAATCTAAGCAGTACTAAAATAAAACTGCGCAGTATGAATCACAATATTTTCTAATTCTCATTGAACTATTTAAAGCTACAAACACCTGAGAAAAGTAAATGTGTTGCTGAAGGAAAGCTCACTTCATTTTGCTTTTTTATTTTGTATTTTC